GGTGGAAGGAGAGAGCTGACTCCTGAAAACTGTCCTCTGACCTCTACATACAAGATGTGGCAGTTGCACACCCCCACCGCCCCCCCCCCACATCATACATATATAAACACACAATAATAAATTCTTGACTTAAAACTTGTCTGGACTTCATATAAATTCAGTGGAGAGAGAGAATTCCTAGGCTAGAGAGATGGCTCAGTGAGTAAGGTGCTTACCTTGCAAACATGAGAATCCAAGGTTTGAATCCCCAAGAACCCACGTAAAACTAGACATGACAGTCCATGCCTGTAATCCCAGCATTGCTACAGGAGATGGAGGCAGAGACAGGTGAACCTCTGGAAACTCTCAGGAAGGATAGCCTGATACACAGTGACAAACAACAATAAACCCTTTCACAAAGAAGACATAAGGCAAGGACCAACACAACCCTGAGGTTGTCGTCTGACATCCGCACTCTCACCATGGCACATGTGTGTTTGTGTGGCACACAGACACACAGAGATTAATAAAAATTACAGGACTTCTTAGAACCAATTATATGGATAATTTTTACTAGGTTCTTGGAATACACTCAGATTTTTGAATCAAAAACCTCATACTTCAGCCCGAAGACTCAGCATAGCTAGCACCTCATATAACTGTCCCTGGTTTCATTACAGCTAGTTAGAAATTTATCACACCTGTTGCTTTAACCAAATTTCATACTGCTGAAGAAACTCCAAATGAGTGAATTTGTAAGAAGGAAAAATAAAACATCGACACATCCATTCCTGGAAGAGTCTTCAAACATGGTCTATAGCTAACATTAAAACTGTCAGGCAAGGTGAGAGATGATGGCACACAAGTCTGTCATCAGCCTTGAGAGTCCGGGGCTAGAAGATTACTAGTTCAAGGACTACCTGGAGTGGAGTGTGTTGAAGACTAGCCTAGAAAAGTTAATGAGATCCTATCTCAAAAAGAAGTCAAAAGATGGCTCAGGATGTAGCTCTGTGATAGATCACTTACCTACCATGTATAATGCCCTGGGTTCAATCCCCAGCCCCACCCCCCACATACATGAGTATTCTTAATGAGCTGAATATATAAAACTGTGTTGCACTTTTCTTTCTCTTTTGTCAAGGAAAATTCTCATCACTCATGCTTAGTTTTGTCACAAGGTTTGGGAGGACCAAGTGCAACAAGAACAGGGTCTGCAGATTACCACAGCACTATACAAAAGCTCTATGCTCAGCAGGCTGTGAAATACAGAGTGATAAAATTGATCAGAGGCACCTGCTGGAAAAGCAAATTAAAGCAATTTGTGTGTTTTGATCATTTTACAGTGTGCACACACACTGACTTAATACAGAATTCTGTTATTGCTGTAATATGGATTTCACATGGATGATAACAATCAAAACTAGCAAAAACAACAAAATAATATGGGGGATCCTCTGTCACCCCACTTGTGTAATGCACGGATCACTTCGATTCATATTGTCTAGTACTATAGTCACTGACCCAATGTAGTTAGTCACGTTTAAATAAAATGGACTAGGACTGGGGGTGACTCTGTTTCGTAAAGTGCTTGCTTTGCAAGGTTGAAGACATGAGTTCCATCTCCACAGCCCAGGCTGAAAAAAAAAAAGGCCATGGATGGTGGCAGGCATGTTTGCAATGTGAGAGCCAGAGCCAGAACTGGGGAGGCAGAGTCAGAAAGATCCCTTGTGCTTGCTAGAAGAGCCTCCTTGACAAGTCCTAAGACTACTGAGAGATCCTAGACTCAGACTGCATCAGAGAAAGAAAAAAAAAAACGTTGCACAACACCTGAGGATGGATAACCCGAGGTTGATCTTTGGCCTGCACATACACAAACGTCTATACGATACATACAAATCAATAAATGAAATAAATTAACCTGGTCTGGTGGTGCATGACTATAATAATCAGGCATTTGGAAGGTAGAGATGGGGGAATCACTAGTTCAAAGCTTACCTGGCTTACAGAGTGAGTTCATGGCCAACCTGGGCAACTTAATAAGACACAGTCACTAAATAAAAAAAAGTTAAAAAAAAAAAAAAAAGATGGCAGTTGGGGAAATAAGTTTGTGCTTGGTTAACAAGCATGCACAAGCCCAGGGTTCCATCTCTACTACCACACACTATGTTAACTAGATAAAAGCAAATCAATTAATAAAAACCAAGTAAGTTAAAACTTCATTCAGTTGCAACACCCATATTTCCATTGATAAGAAAACACCTATTAGCTACCATGTTGGACAGGGTACTGGTAGAACAATACTGCAGCCATGAAATCAACTGATCAAGGTCAAATTCATCACCTCCCTTGCTCTAAAGCTAGCAGCAAGCTATGATATTGACTCCAGAATATTCGCTGGAGCTGGAGAGATGGCAGAGCAGTTAAGAGTCCTGGTTGCTCTTCCAGAGGACCCAAGTTCACTTCCCAGCAGCCACATCTGCTAGCTCACAACCACCAGTACTCTAGCTGTAGGGGATCCAGCTCCTCCTTTCGGCCAGCACACACATGCCATACATTCACAAACACACATACATACACATGAATAAAAAATAAACCTTAAAAAAACTTGGCTGGTGATGTGACTCAGTTGGTAGAGTGCTTGCCTACCATGCACGAAGTCCCGGGTTCAGCCTTCAGGACCCAATAAAGCAGCTGTGGGGAAACACACCCATAATCCCAGCACCTGAGAAGTAGAAACAGGGTGATCCTAAATTCAAGGTAAATCTGTTATATACCAACTTGAGGCCCAATTGGGCCACATTTGACCCTGCCTCAAAAAGCAAAACTAAACAGAATACTTATGAGCAAAATTGTAAGAAAATAAACCTCAGGATAATGACCACTTGCATCCATTGGGCATAGACATGTATATCTTCCCAGTGGCCACATCAGAAGTCAATATTACAGAACGGAGATCATTTCCAAACCATCAGAGATGACATGACTTCCTGTGCAAAAGCAGCACAGGTCTGCATGTCTGCATTTTATGTTCCCTTGATAAATATCACCCCTGTGGGCAGTGAAGCTCACTTTAGTTATTTTCTGTTTGCACTGGAGCCCTGCTTCCCATTTATCAGACTCCCTGCTGCTCTCATGGTGGATACATCTGCAGAAGTTGAGAGAAAGATGCCGAGTCTGAGCCAAGAGGGTTTGCAAAGCGGACACAGCTTGAACTAGATTCAGCCACCACTCCGAATTTACTTGAAAAATATGAATACCTATGCAAGTAGCTCTTTTTGTTCTGGGAGACACACGCACTTCAAAGTTTTCATCCAGTTGCTGCTGATACCTCATAGCCATCAGGTAGTCAGTTCTAACCCCTTCCTACCTCATTAAGTTGCATCCTCACACCCGTACATCTGTATGATCCGGATATATCATAAAAGCCAAGACAATGGGCAAGCAGATGAAAAGACCAGCTCTAGAAAACCGGTGACCTAATTCCTCCTCAGCCCATCATTCTACCTCCTGAGTTCAGTGCCAGTCAGACACCTGCTTTGTTTTTATGACTCCTCAGCGCATTTAATGAGTTCCCCCATTCCTCATTAGAGAACATGGTATTTGGAACACCAGGTGGTGTCTAGCTAAGACCTTTCGTTTATTTATTTATTTTTCCTAAGGAAGATTTTTTACTACTGGCTCCAAATTATTGGTGATTATCTGTCAAGATGTCTTGGATATGTCTTTACCAAGGCTGATTCAAAGAATAAGCTTATTCAGAGAAAAGCTAGCTTTCCTGAGTTGTAATGTGCATGGCAGATCTCACTCTGAAAGTTAGCAAAAAGGGCTGGGAGGAACCATCGGCAGAGTTTACCTTTAAAGTTGCCTTTGTCACCTTACCTCTGTTTTCACCCACTGCTCAGCCTCATCTCTGTTTAGAAGGGCCATTGTACGATGCATGCCCAACTTGCCCCTCCTGTTAGCTGCCCTCCGACTCGCCATTCTATCCTGAGTTGTCCCCTCATGGAGAAGGTGAGACTCAGTCCCTCAGAGGATTATGTGGCTCTGCATTCTCAGCAGAACCCAATAGCCCCCTTGTTATCTCTGGGAACTGGATCCTATTTGTTAATTGTGCTGAGATCATTCCATGGTGGCTGACATGTCGCTGTGGTCTGTGGTGCAGGAAGCTGCCATTTTCTCAGTGTGATAATCAATGCTCCACTGCACACAATTCCTCTTCAATATGCCCATTTGCTCATCCTCCTTGCTTAATTGAACAATGGCAATTACGGTACACAGAACTAAATGTTAATTATTTTCCTTTTCAGATTTTTTTCTCTTAATGATTGTATTTACAAATTGGAAGACTTTATCATATTTTCCTCCCACACCAAATTCTCCATCTGAGCCATTGTGACAAATAGCAGTGTGATATTTTTACTCACAAAGAATTTTTGACAAGTGTTCACCATCTACTTTTGTAATAATTATGGAACATTTAGAAAGCTAAAGCAAGGCTTCAAAAGTATCAGTGGTTAAATGACTTTATACACCGTTCCTAAGAAACTGTCAAAGACTGGTCTAATTTCTATAATACAAAGCAGAAGAGTGTTTACTTGCTCTTATAAGGAAATAATCAAAGATCTTTTAAATAAAACTTAATATTTGGTAAGTGATGGTAAAGAATGGTCAGTTCTGAAAATCTGGAAAGTTCAGCAAAGTAGGAAGAATATTTAATCCCTACCCTGAAGCAATCGCCATTAACACTTAGGTATGTTTCCTTCCAGGGGCAGCTGGGTTCTTTCTTTAGACCTCTGCTTAGGACTGCTAACCTTTAACACACAGCCAGGGCCAGTATTCAACCCTTCCTCTCTTCGGTGTTTTGTACTTCTGCTCTGATTCTCAGCTTTCATTAACCTCGACCTTAGATCAGTAGACGTGGGTAACTGCTTTACTGCTTTTCTGGTGTGGGCTCATCGCCACTGGGTGTCCTGAGCTGGGCTTCTCCGCATTCCTAAGTCCCACCTCTCTTTGCATTTCAGGGTGGTTATGCTGCATATCGCTATGCCCAGCCTACCCCTACCACTGCCGCTGCCTACAGTGACAGGTAAGGTCTTCTTTCTTATGTTTGATAACTTCTTGAAAATTAACTTGGTGGAGATTCTTACCCAGTCTTGCCTGAAGAATGCATGACTACTCAGGAGGAAGCCCCTGAGAGTTAGGTCCCCTGGTGAAGTTACTCACAGGCCACATGGAGAGAGGATGGATGCTTAAACCTAGTTCCACCTGAATGCCTCACCCTCTCTGCTACAACACACACACACACACACACACACACACACACACACACACACACAATGTCTTTGTGCCATACAGCTTTTTCTCAGATATTTTTATTCCCATATCCATATATCTTCTACATGCAAGTCTACACACCCACATGCACACACACACAGACCCCTTCTCATGGCCTTCTACATAAGAAGCCATATATGGCTTCATGTAATTCACAGGAAGAAAGCCAGATGGTAAGTCAGCAGGTCTATCTTCTTTCCCTTATGATACCCAGAAAGGTATCCCATCCACTGCATTGAATTCAGAGTAAATGGACAGGCAGTACATCTGGCTTTCACAGGGAGATGTGTTCTTTTTGGTCATGCCCAGTGTCCAATATATACCTGTCCAATCCTAAAAGTATAAGTCAACTTTTATTTGCACTGCGCACCTCACATGAAGACAAGCAACTGAAGGGACAGAGGTGTTTGAGAAGTGCAGAATTCCGAATGGGTGTGTATGAATGCCTTGATTCCCCAGGCTTTGGAGACATGTTCGTTTCTGAAACAGTGAGTCATGGCTATTTCTATATAGGTGCCTCAGGGAGTGGCCAGGGGGGAGGGAGTAAACCACCCAACCACCCAACCGAAAATGTGTGTGTTCCCATATTGAATGCGACTTCCTGGCTCTGTTCTCTGAGGACACCATTGTGAATGTTCAGGTGCTCTGCATGCACGAATGTCCTGAAGGGTGCTTATTTTCGTGATGACTCTTTTCATTTAAAGATATCTTTATGAATAAAATGATAATGGTAACAATTTGCATGTGTGGCTGAGGCATGCTGGGTCAGACAGGTAAGCAGGCGATGTGCGTGACTCGTGAACGAAAAATGTCAGGAGACACTGGTCTCCCACCTGGCTTGTGGCGATCCACTTCCTCCTCTCACGGTTTGCTGTGGTGCGCTTTTCCGGCAGCTCCATTTCATTCCTTTCAAGATGGGTTGTTAGCTCTCTGTAGCTGCAGAACTCTTCCAGTCTCGTAAGGCGAAGGAAATCTCTGAATTTGAAATGCTGTACTGAGAAATCCCCATGCATAGACTTGTCACTGAAGACTCTTTGGCCAGATAGAGTTGAATTCACTGTCTGGTCCATGCACATATTATTACTGCTTTCTCAAGCACAGCCATTACAGGTTCTCCAAGCCATAGAGAGCCTTCAAAGAAATCCAAACCATTGGCAAGACATAGATATACACACATTATTCTTGTACCCAATCACGAGTTGCCAAGATCCAAGATGCTTCATGTAAATTGTTATCTTCAGAATCCTTTGACACTTGATTAAGAAAATTGAGAGGGTCAATAAGGCTAATAAAAATGACAATCTTGAAATACTTGAGATCATTCTCCAAATGAAAAGGCTTAAAAGTTATTAAATTCCACACACTGAAGATCCACATGGTCTCAATTGTAATGCGGCTCGGCTACAGCCCTTAATTATTTTTATGAAAATATCTCTAGATGCTAAATTCTCAAACGCCCACTTTGTATGTAATTATAATCATAGTAACTTTAGCCTGCTGTATAATTATAATCTTAAACAGATTTATTTCTTTGAATGTTTATCTTGCTTCTCCTCAGTAGAAGTACATCTAGCCCCAAGTTGAAAAGAGGTTAATTACAAAGATAGACTTTAAATCGCCTTCTTCAGTAAGACTAATTTAGACACTTGATAAAAATAAACAATGTTTAATAGTATGCTTCGATAGAATTACTGGAGAGCTCCATGTCCACTTGCATTCATCTAAAATTCAGTTACAATGTGCTGCATTTGGAATACCATGTATGTAAATATATGTATAAAATCTGCAATTTTAATTTTATTACTGTTTCTCATTGGGAATGCATCCTACTGAAAAAAATTGCCCTCCTTCTTGGATTGGTAAATCTTTAATAGCTCTGCAATTCCCAGTTTAGTATAACAGTTTCAGTTGAAGAAACCAACTAACTATATTCTTTTCCATATAATTGGCCTCTTGCTGTTTATTAGATATCTGCACATCCAGTCTTCTACATTGCTGGGGAAATTGATTACTAGCTCTATTTAACTTTATTGTAAGCAGGATACTTGTCACCTATGGATTATTCATTGAGGTAAATTCTCAGATGTATGTGAACTACCAGAAAACTGTCTCTAAAATGCCATTTCTGATTTGATCACTAGTAAATGGTGAAAACTTCTTTTATTCTTAGTCAATCCAGACAAGCAGGTGAGGAAGGTTCTCTTATTAAGACACATTTGGGGAGAATGTGAAGTTATCAGAACAGCTTTTGAAGCTCTATTAAAGATGCCCAGATCTAGAATTTATTTCAGGGCAACAGTATGATAAATTTATTTTTCACGATCTCAAAGCTTAGCATCGGTAGTGATAGACTCTCACTTCCCCCTCTCTGGAAGCCAGACAGGAGACAAAAATCGGAAGGGAAATCAGCAGGAATGGAGTGTTGGGAAATTCTCCCTGACTGTCAATTTGATCAGAAGAAACACGGCAACAACCCTTCCCTGTAATCATGAGCTTCACTACTCAGAGGTTTGGAAAGTGAAAGAAGTTTGATAGCCCCACCACTCCCCACTCCCAGCAACCACCAGGACCCCACACACAATTGGTAGAATTATACCTTTTCTCAGTACAAATTAAGCCCTCAGCAAATTAAAGATTCAGGGACCTTCTGAAAAATATTGAACTGCAGTAACCTCAGCACTGCCTGCAAGGTCTTTAATGGGCACTTGCAGCTTCCTGCCTATCATCTTCCTGGTTAAATGATCACATGCTGATGGTCTCTGAGCCGCCTGAGGAGTCTGAATGTTGACCTCCAGAATGAAGACCATCTGGTATGGGCAGAGCTTTTCCCAAATGAGAAAGACTGAGTTGAAAGCAGGTAACATCACAGCCTCACTGATGTATCAAATGGGGATAGGTGAACATCTTTTCTTGGCATTTATGTAAACAATCAACTCACCAATCCTTTGTTATTCTCACTTTGATGTAAGGGAAGCCAGCTGTCCAAAGTCTCTAGGAGATTGTTTTCTGAGCTTGAACCAATCAGAGCATGGCGGTGGGGCCTGTGATGGTCATTGCATGCCACTCGGTGTTGCTGATGTGTCTGTGGTATGCACTGGGTTGAACAGGTCCATCACATTAGCTCCATGAATGGCTTGCTTGGATTAAGCCTGGGGTGCAGGTCTCTCTTTTATTGATTGGCTCTTGGTTTTGTTGTGTATTATGGCTTGGTTCTTGTTGCATCTTTTGGCTGTCCAACTGGGAGGTGGGAAGAGGGGAGGGTGCCCTGTTCAACGAACTGTGCCACTCATTTTGGGGTGAATAGAGGTAATATTTTGGGGTGAATATGTATATAGCTTTGATGAAACTATCTGACTAGGGAAACAAACCCCCGCTCACGCTTGTCCTGCTTGCTAACACTCTAACACTTTCTAAGGACCCATGCATGAAAATGTCTCTCCATGCTACAGAGGAGATGGCTAGACACAGGTGAAAAAGACAGGGGAGCATTTTTACTGTGAAGTTCCACCATAATATAATTCTGCCAGGGACCATTTCTTCTGTCACTTTAAATGTACATTTTTCTTTCAAGTTCATACAGTATATTTTTAAAGATAAAGTAGTACATGATATGGAAAATTGAAACATAGCAGTTTCTCACTTAGAAAAGAAAGTTTCTATCAAGTTCTGGTAGATAAATACGATGCACTCACTGGAAATTTAGTATTACTAGTTGACACTTTTAAGAGCTTTGTAGATGTTAAGATTGATTTTTATCAAATATTTTTTATCCTAAATATATTTTCTTATTTACATTGAGGATTGAGTTTTTATAATGTAAAAATACATTATTAGGTAACCAAGAAAAATTGCTCTACAAACATACATAGAATGAAGCATTCATAATTACATAATGGTATCTTTTGGATAGAGTTGCTTATCGAAAGTAAACTAAAACTATAGAACATGCACTTCCTATAAAAACCTAAAAATGCACCTGACAGGAAGGACGATAGCACCAGGCCACACAGGCATCCAGAGACAAAGTAGAGAACTGCAGGCTGTGGGGATTTTGCTTTTATTTTGTCCCACTTTCTTTCTGCAACCATAATGTTTTGTTGTCAACATAACATTAGAAGGCATCTTATGAAACTCCTGGTTTTTGTGTGACAAGAAAAAAATGGTGTAATATTGGCAATTCCCTATAAGCACAGCCTAACATAAACCCTAACAAAGTCTTGTTCTGTTATATACATAACCCACCCACCTGCCATCAACCTATGCCTTAGGGATTCGCAAGGGACTTACAAAAGTATCAAGAGAAATCCTACAGTAAGGAAGCCAGGACTTGTGAAGTTCAAGCAGTCGTATGGTACATGCTAAGCATCATTCAAATCTGATACTCATAACCTATGAATTAGAAGGTCCATTTCAGAGACAAATAGGTGAATTCCTTCTTCGTAAGCTTAATAGGTATAAGGAGGAATGTCTTTGGTATCATGGGGAATTTGAAGTAGCCCTACTCAGAATTGTACAGATGATAAATATTGAAATACATACATGGGAAGATGGATGTGTAGAAAGAGAAATGGATGACGCACAGATGAAGGAAAGGGAAGCAAGGTGTGGAAGAGGATGAGGAGAAATGGGGGAAGGAGAGAGGGAGCAAGGGACAGGGAGAGGTGAGAAATAAAAGACCATCTTCCTGTCCTCTCGTATCTCATTCTGAGCAAATCTGCACTAAATACAACCTTGGGCTCTACCTAATTCTGA